CCTACCTTGAACGTCTGCCCCCTAGTGTTCAGTGCACATCATAGTGACTGGTTGACCAGTCATTCTGGTTGTTCAGTCGTAAAGGTTGCTTAGGCTTTTATATATATAGATTAGTTATTGTGTTACTTTCCATATGAATAACTGTGAGCCTACTTTTGCCCCACCCTGTATTTTGACTGATCTTAGAAATTCAAAGAAGCTTGCAGGTTTTATGGTTATTCTATAGATAAAAGGTCTGAAAATGAATAGTGTTTTTAATATACAGAGGAGATATTTAGACTTGGAGTTATTCTTTTATTTAAAAATTACTTCTTGAGTATCCACAGTGTGCTATGAGGATACAGTAGTGAACATGACACATAACATTCTTTTATTTTTGTCTTTGCTCATCCTGTTCTTGTACCCAGGTTTTCTCCATAGCACTGATTTCATTTTGTATTCTTTCTATACATTTTATTTTTTTATGTATAGGGTTTGTCTATATGAATTAGAATATGAATTCTATGAAGGCAGGAAGATTTGTCTGATTATTGTTGTATCTTTAGCTTGTCATATAGTACTTAGCGTTTAGTAGGGACTCAATAGATTTTTGTCAAATATATGAATGAATTGAATAAAATGAAGACCAGGAGAGTGTAGTATCTTGAAAATCAAGTGAAATATTTTTAGAACAGAATGGTCATCTGTATCAAATGTTGCTGAAGAGTCAGACAACATAAAAACATGAAAATTAGATTTACCCAGTAGAACTGTGATGAATGGTTTCACTGATGTGGTAGGGCAAAAGCCATATTGGAGTAGATTCAAGAAAAAAGGAATGGGTTGTGAGGTAGTAGAAAAAAAAACATGATATTATGAGAGATAAGGACATTGATCTGTAGTTGGTGGGAGGAGTATGAGGTCAAGGAGGGCTTTAAAATGTTTTTCTTTTATTATGAAAATTTTAAAAATACATAAGAGAATAAATAGTACAATGAACCCTTTACATACTCCTTATATAGCAACAGTATCAAGATTTGGGCTTATCTATTTCATTTTCTGATTTTTGTTGTTGTTACAGAAATATTTTGAAGCAAATCCCCATCATTTAACTGTATATACTTCAGTTTGCATCTTTAGAAAACAAAAAAAGCCCTACCCGGGTTGGCTTAGTGGATATAGCATTCGCCTGCAGACTGAAGGGTCCCAGGTTCTATTTTGGTCAAGGGGACATGCCCTGGTTGTGGGCTCAATCCCCAGTCAGGGGCATGCAGGAAGCAGCCGATCAATGATTCTCTCTCATCAATGAATCTCTCTCATCAATGATATTTCTATCTCTCTTCCTCTCCCTTCCTCTCTGAAATCAATAAAAATATATTTTAAAAAAGAAAACGAAAAGAAAAATGGTGCTTATTAAAATTAACAGTAATTCTTTGATACTATCTAATATGTAGTTCTAATCAGGTTGCCACAATTATGTTTGCTTCCTCATGGTGACATTAAATTTACTATCTTCAGTATTATTTTTAAACTGTAATATAGTATAAAAATTTGGTGAGATTTAAGTTCAGCTACTTGGGGACATAGTTTTTAATAGGTGCCCTGTGCTTCATATTATATCACATCAAGAGGCCTGTGTTTGGTTTTCACACTCTAGTTATGCTAATATTGATCAGTGAAGTCAGATGGTGACTGCCTAATTTTTCTATTGAGAATTTCCCATTAACCTTTCATGTTATCATTTTTATGGTCTTTGTCTAAATCAGTTATTTTATATGGTTGGCCAAAGGGTAATGATCTAATTCTGTCTTAAGGAGAAGGAGTCTTTAAACATTGAAAAAATTATAACATATTTTCCTGCTGATGAGAATGATCTAATACAGGGATCCTCAAACTACGGCCCGTGGGCCACATGCAAATACAAATATTGTATTTGTTCCCGTTTTGTTTTTTTACTTCAAAATAAGATATGTTCAGTGTGCATAGGAATTTGATCATAGTTTTTTTTTAAACTATAGTCCGGCCCTCCAGCGGTCTGAGGGACAGTGAACTGGCCCCCTGTTCAAAAAGTTTGAGGACCCCTGATCTAATAGAAAAGAAAAATTATGACATAAGAAAGAGCTCTAATACCTAAAGAAACAGAAGGCTGGGTAGGTAAGAATGAATGGGCTCCACTGCACAGATGAGTAGGACCAGGAACAGTTTAAGAGTCTTGTCCTAGGCTACAGTAGCACAAAGTGAATATATTTTATTAAATTTCTATCTAAATTTTGCTATGGAATTGGTTTGATAATTGTGCCTAATTTTAGAAACATCTATTTTCATTTGAAATGAATGATGATATTTCATATGAAATCAAAACTTAAAGCCATTTCAAACTTCATTGCCTAGTCTACCTTAAAACTGCAATTTTAAATTAATGGCGTCTTATACACCTATATCTTTACATTATAAAAAATGTGGGCAATATTTTTATGTAACTATTTTTCAGCTTTTGTTAGCTAGTCTATTGCAAAGAGAAGCAAATGCTACTGTTAAATCAAATGATAAATAACTGGCAGTTTAGTTTAGACACTAATGGATCCTAAAAGCCTTTAAAATGACAAAAAAACAGCAACTTTTATGATTTATAGGCTCATTTTTGTTACACAGTTTGGTCATATACCTGACAGTCTTCCCTCTTTGTGACTTTTTCCTAAAAATTATAGTTTTGTGTTATCTGAGTGAAAAGGCCATTAGAGTTCAGGAGAAGAATATGACAGCATCTCTTCTGAGGATTGTAGCAATTCCCATTGGACATGTACAATCTCCTTTTTTCCACTTTTTTGACATAGTTCTAATAGTAGTGATATAATTTAATACTCAAAGAATATGTACTGCAACTTTGAACCTATAAACTCTTCAAATTGTCTCATATGTGCTATGTGAACTTTAAGCAATCATATTTCTTTATGACTGTGATTTCCATTTACTACCTGTTAGCGATACAATTAGAAGTGTATTGTGGTTACTGTTGTCTAATATGTTGTGCATTCTGTTAAATTAGAATTTTAAAGCAATGTGTATTATATAATCTCTTTAGTTATGTAGTGCCATTTTTTATTTTTTTAAAAATCCCTATTGAGGTTGCACTGATTTCCTTTCCTATTTTGGCATACCCAGCACTCTAGTTGTCTCCAAAAGCAGGAATGTAATCTGAGCTGTAGGTTGTTTTGTTTGCCAACTTAGATGAAACACATTGCATGAGCTCCATTGATCAGTTCTCATCCTTTCTAGACATTTATTGAACAATTAATCCAACCTTGTAAAGACTCCCCAGAGTATTTCTATAAACTAGATCATTTTACCCAAGAGCCACAGAGATACATCAAGATAGAAAAGGATGAAAAAAGCTTTCAAACGCACATTATGGAAAGATTCTCTCCGTCCTTACCAATGAAAGCTATACTTGCTCTCCATTGAAATATTTTGTTCCACTTGGGAAGCTTAACTTTGCATAGATATGAATCATCATTGTTTAAAGCATGAAAATTTAATTGAGGTGTATTCATATCATAATACTTTTATTTCTGCCCCAAATTTTGTGATCTAAGTTTTTTTTTCCTAAAAGTAAAGCTGATAATTTTTTAATATTATTTTAAAACTTAAAACTAGTAGAAAATGGTTTATGTGGCTATTGGTCCTTAAAACAGTATAAACTTCCTATGATTTCATCAATATTTGTGATTTCACAACTTTGTCATTCACAGTGTACTTTAAAAATACTTTATAGAGTGGCTTAGAATTTTGAAATTAGCACCAAAAGGAAATGTAGTAGGTAGGTATTGGAAGTTTTTATATTAGTTAAAAAACAAAATTTTATATGTTTTAAAATATCGTTCTTTTATTTTTTTGATAACTATTTAATAAAGGAATATTTATTTGTGACAAGTTTATGTGTTGTGTTGGGATGCTGAAAAGATTACAGTTTAAGACCAGTCTGCTGCAGTGAAGCTAAGATTAGTCTAAAAAACTAATCATTGATTTTTTATTGCCTTAAGGTTTATCTGTAAAGTATAAAATGGATTATAGGACTTGTGTGTTAGACCCAACCAATTTTGTTTTAGTAATATCTCACATCATATGTCTAAATTTTATTTACTAAGATGTAAAATAAATACTATTAATTATCTTTGTCAATTATTCATTAATTTCAAATTTCATAAACTTATTAAATTGTGTTTTAACTGATATTATTTCATTATTAAAATTACATAATCAATAAAATCAGTGTGGTTTATTTATCCAATGAATATTTATTGTACACCTAGTATTGTGGAAACTACAGCACCAAACGAAACAGGCTAATTCACTGTTGTCTAGGAGCTTGCATACTAGTGGTAAAGTAAAAGGTAAACATATGAAATGTCAGGGGGTGGAGTTGCTATCTACGATTAAAAGGAGAGCAGGGTAAGTGAATAGGGGCAATAGAAATTCTGAAATGTACCTTCTATTTAAGTTTTCCAAGATTCTCTCTACCCACTGGTTTAAATGTTCTTTTTACTCTAGATCAGCTGTTTGTATCATCCATGTAGGTATTTCCATTGTTTTTCATATCATACTGTCCTGTAATTTCTGGCTTAATGTTTGTTTTTTGCCCTTAAGGGTATGCTTTTTGCAAGTTGTGTCTGTAAATCTTCTTTTGTGTGTCACCAGTTTGTAACGCTAACTCCTGTTATAAGTGCTCGTATTTGTTACGACAATAAATGAATGATACTCTCAGAACTGAGGATATCTGGCTCTGGTGAAATCTGAGGACCCTTTCTGAGATAATTAGAAAAGAATGAGTAAAAAATTGTAAAAAAAAAAAAAAAGAACATGGATTTATATATTCTGTTTGGTTCAATTGTAGCATTACTAATTAATTTAGAGTTTTACATTTTACATTATTTTATTGGCATTACTATATTATCCTTTTTATAGCTTTTTTTGAAAAAATACAAAATAAGAAAGTTTTCTGAGTATTAATCTTTTATTCACAGGTACTACTGAACGAGTGTGTTTGATCCAGGGAACAGTTGAAGCACTGAATGCAGTTCATGGATTCATTGCAGAAAAAATTCGAGAAATGCCTCAGAATGTTGCCAAGACAGAACCAGTTAGCATCCTACAGCCCCAGACCACCGTTAACCCAGATCGCATCAAACAAGTGAGTGTTTAGTTGGGAAATCAAAGAGAACTACTCATAGCATAGTGTGAATTCCTTATAAAAGAAGCCTTGTAGTCTTATTATATATATACATTTTTTCTAAACATACTTAAAATAACAGTTGTCATTTATTTATTTAAAAACGATTGTTCTCTTTCTTACCTTGATTAGTTGATCTATTGATTGAATTATTCATTTCAACACTGAGAAGCAATTATGTGACTCATTTCTTTTGTGATTTACAGACATAAATTTGATAATTTATGGGAATTTAATCTATTTTAAATTATATTACTTTTAAATAAAGTATAAAAATTTAAATGAAACTATATCCTCAAAACTTAAATACCATTTTGGTATTAGTCTTCAGTATAGTTATTATATTATGCATATATATTCCTGTTTTGTTAATTTGTCATGTTCAACATTTTTTATCAACAAATATGTATAAGTATACCTTTGTGCCTAGCAAACAGTAACTTGTTACAACTCAGCTATTACATTCTGTATAACTTGTGTAATATATGTAGAGAGAGAGTCATAAAGGGCCAATGTGAGTTTTTAATGTATGGGATTCTCTGTAACAAAATTTTTACTTGATAAAAGACAATGTAAGTTTTTAAGAGTGTGTAATGGCTGACATGATATAGGAGAAAAATAACATTTTTAATACTAAATAAGGTGGATTCTTCCCCGTAAACTCTTTTAAATTCAAAATTATTGGATACTTTATAATTATTGCTTCTGCATTTGCCCTTTTATATTAACTACTTAATTTTTATCATACTATTAATAGAATATACCCTCAAAAGGAATGTATTTTTATTACTTTACAAGATATTTGATTTACAGAATATTTATGTTCACTGTAATAAATTTGAAATGTAGCTCAAAATCTTATTAATTTCATGTTTCTGAATTGAAAAAGTGTTATGAACCTATTAAATTTTTATCAATATATAAGTAAATATAAGGCTGACTGATCACATTCAAATGTAGAAAATATCAGTTAGACATATTTTCAAATTATAGGAAAATATTTTGTTTTCTCTTAAATACTATGTTACAAAATACTTCCAGGTTTAAATTACGAATAGGTAGTTGTTATTCCATATAAAATGATTCATTTGTTTACTCTCTGTTAATGTCATAATGGTTAGATTTTGTTTGTATACCCTTCATACTTTTTCAAGGAAGTAACTTTTAATCTGTATATGGCAGAATTTAAATATTTTAAAGCTTCAAATATCAGATGATTATTTTATTCTTACAGCCATTTATAGTTTTAGAATTTTTATCTTATCTGTGCTAGGTAAATACAAAGAATATCTGTAATGTTTTGAAAGTGATACATTACTCTATCTAGGTTTTAAACATGATGTTAGTTAAAGACCTCTGGATTAAATGCACCTGGGACTAAGAATTTACAGAAGCACTAAAGCTTAGGGTCTGTTGACTTTCTTCCTTAATCCAGCCTAGTCTTTCTTTTCTTTTGTAAATTATGTGAGAAGTTCAAACATTTATGGGTGTGATGAACATCTTGATTTTTTAAAAAGTAAAACATACAATGCAGTTGGAGTAGAACGACATCACTGGCAGTATATTCAAGACAATATGAATGGATTTTTATTATTTTAATATTAATAAGTAGCTAGTACAAACAAATAATTGTCTCAGAATCATTATTAAAATTCCAATTTTCTCTATGGCCAGATGACTTTTATTGGCTACCATATATTCAGTGCCTATATAGATTTATGAAAACCAAAATTTAAAAATGTTTGGTTTATTTTTATTTGCCTTTTTCTCATAATATTATTTAAATTCAAGATAAGTATTAAAAGTAGAGATTGGTTTACTTTTGTGTATTTGCATTCATTGTAAGCCTTGTAGACACTCATGGAATTAATATTATTGTCGATTATTTAATATTTTTATATAATTAATAATACATTTAATACAGTATCATTTAAAAAGATTTCTCAATAGAGTACACTAAATCTAGTAGGGCAATATATTTCACACTTAAACACTTTTTTTGTAAGTGTAAAAATAAAATAATATACTTGAAAAATCAGGAAGAGATATCTCACATATTTTTAGATATCATTGATGAACAGTTTTTTTATGCTCTATGTTTAGGATTCTCTAACTCTCTAGGTATCCTATTTTACCAATATCAGACTTTCTATTGGATCATTCTCTAAACAGAATTCCAAGTATATAAATTTAAATGACCATGATTTTATTTCTGAAGACATTATGCTGATTATCCAGTATAGAATAATTATGTTTAATATAAATTATTTCCCACTAGAATAAATAAAAACATATTTCATATGATATATATATATATATATATATATATATATATGACTTTAATACATAGAATCATAATAAAAATTTCCTTTAAAATGGCAGTTTTTCCTTAACTAGTGATATACGATTTACATTTACTTTGGGCTTCAGTCCTCAAATTAATTTTAAAAATAATGTCTTTGAAGGATTGTTTTAGAATTTTCTTCTAGTTAAGATTGTGCAAAGAGTAAAATTAAAGTTTTTAAAATCTGGAGCTAGGAAATGTAACTTTTGGAGAGATATGTATTTAATATTGAATATGAAATTATATATTTTTAAAAATGTTTGTTATTATGTGTCCATTGCTTTTGCTTGCTAAAAATAGTTTATATGTAACATATATAAAATAATTTATATGTAATAGGAAGTCAGAGTTAATTTTAAACAATTAAAACTTGCCTTAAACATTATAATTTTACACCATATATTACGGACTTTTAATAAAATGGTATATTTTGAATTATGCAATCTAGATACAGTTGGTAACCAAAAAAATTTCATTGATCATCATATTCTGCCTAAATAAAACCTACCCTTATTAACTGAATCAATTTTCAAACCAGAATAATTGTTTTAGGGAAGTAGTGCATAATGGTCTTATCACTCTTTCATAGAGTGGAATGATTAAATCTAGCATGACAGCCTTACATCCAACTTCAGATATTAGATATTGTGAAATATTCAATTCTTAATTCTCAAATGTTTTTGTTTTCTATTTAAAACATATTTGTTTGCTAATACAGAGACAATTATAATATTTATTGAATAATCAAAATATTATATCCTCTGTTTTTTAATCTTAATACCAGGAAACTATCATAAGGTACATAATACCATTGTGCTTATTCAACAAGACAGTATACTAAGAAACAGATATGCAACAAGAGTTAATAAGCCAAAATTAAACATTAATTAGCATGAAACATATTATTTCTTATTTTTAGAACACCCAATTAACTGAGACATTTGAAATTTTCAAATAATTTAGACTTGGCTTGCCTAGAAGCTCTGAACTCATTTCGGAGCACTTCCTAGCCCAGATTATTTTGTATATATTTTTCCAATTTCTACCTTTTTATGTTTTGAGCTTTGTATTTTTTATTTTCCCCTCATAGGATTATTGAAACTTTTCTTCTTGTTGTAAGTGCCTCAAATCCCCCTCTAAATATATTTGTTTATATGTAATGAGTAAATATAATGAACCCTCCCCCAAAATGTTAGAAACCACAAATCAGTATTATAGTTAGCATTTGTTAATTTCCTTTATCTATTAGAGATTTCCAGCAATTTCTTTCCCTTTTGGCTAAAATATATTTTTAAGAAAAGCTACATTAAGTAAGAAGTGGTTATAGGCATATAAACAATTCTCTTATATTTAAAAAAAATTCAAATTAAGATGTCAATAGTCTCATTTAGCCTAAATAATTTTACTTTCATCATGAAAAATTGATAAAAATTGCACATAACTTGTTTTTGAGAGATCAAAAATGCTTAAAGTAATTTATAAAAATATAAAACTTTATTTACATACCAAAACTACAATATAAACAATGTACTATAAAATTTTAGAGGAGTGTGAAAGAAATATGGGCTAGTGACATTTGATATTATAAAACAGGTGAAGACTTGAATTGAACCTTGAAGATTATATAGGAATTGCCTAATTATAGAAAAAAGAAAAATAATTATTTTAGGCATGTGAAACAGTATGGATTTAAGGAGAAAGGTACCATAATTGTTGAATAGTATGGAAACTATCTTGACAGAGGTGGAACATCAGTGTTGGAGTTTAGAGAAAATAATGTTAGGTAGGTAAGATGGGACCGGATAATGGAGAGCCTTCGATGTCAGGATGAGGCGCATTCTATAGGCTACGGACTCTTGCTAATATTTCCTAACAAGCCATTTTAATTTCTCTGGAAGGTTATGAATAAAAGGAGGTACCTCAGCATTTTGTTCTCTTCTGTGCTAAAAATCCAGACAGAATCTTGGGGTGCTTGTAAATACAGTTTATGGGAGAAAAAGAGAATTATGACAATTGAGGGTTCTGCAACGTAGATCTATAGTTTTAAAGGTCTGTAAGAAAATATTTTCTAAAACTTTTTTATGTAACATTCACAAATCCAAGGATGTCAGGCAAAAAAGAAAGAAAGAAAGGTTTTGTGGTCAAGAATGAAGGGTCAGTAATAATAGAAATAGTGCTATATGTATGGTGCTTATTCTGTTTCTGAGCCCACCATTGTGCTGCACACTTTGCACGTATTATCACATGTCGCCCATCCTCACACAAATCCTATGAGAGAGGTACAGAGTCCATGCTTTACTTAAGGAAACTGATGCTTAGAGGAATTGAGTGACTTATCCAAGGACATATAACTGGTTATCTTAACACTGGGCTTCATGGCCTCCAAGTTTGAGTAATGCTGGTGAAACAAAATCCAATAGATTTCTCTCTCATTGGGACTTCTCAAAGTCTTGAATAAACTCTAAGAAGAGAACCTCATTTAAAATAGAATGTATCAGGGTGAAGTTAAGAGACTAAGCAATATTTTAAGAACAAAATGAACATAATCTCACTTTTGGTTGTGAAAGTTGAGACAAATACACGAGGTTAAAAGATATTTCTGAGTCAATTTTGTAAGGCTTCAAGGCTGATTTGTTCTCATTCCAAAATGGTGCAGAAAGAATAAAAAATGGCTATATGTAGTTTTGAACCTAGCAGAATGGTGAAACCTGAAAGCAAACAAGTGAATGTTAAGCACCTATTGGAGATATATATATATTTGTCTCAGGAAAGTTGAATTGTAAATAGTATGTTTTTCTTGAAGTAGTCTTTGATAGAAGCATAGGTGAGAATCTAAAACTCAAAATATAGACCCTTGACTGCAATAGAGGAGCTAATTTCACTTGCATCTTCACAGTAGGAGAGAAAAAAAGAAGCAAACAAATGAACTACAGAAGCAGGTATCAGAAAAAGTAAGTGAGAAGCATTATGGCAAATGCACAGGATCTGGAGCAGGACTGTCAGGATTCCAAGTCCTGGCTTTTTAAAATTACCAGCTGGGTGTTTGGGGGCAAGTTGTTTTGCTTCTCTGTACCTCAGTTTCTTTACTTATAACATGGGGATATTAATATTTATTTCATAAGGATATTGTGAGTATAAACTGAGTAAAACTATACCTTATTCCTAGTAGCTACTCTTTATAAATCATAATGACAAAAAGGAAATCAGTAATTTTTTTCTGTCAGAAAATAAGGAGAGGAAGTATGAGGAAATATACTAAAAAGGATCAAATACCCAGAGAAAAAATATTAGAATAAGTAACTTTTTAAATGGGAGATTATTGGAGATTTTAAAAGTTAGTTTCAGTCACATGGTGAGAGCAAAGTCATTATTTCCTAAAGGTAAAGAGGCTGGTTAGGTAAAAAGAAAAGTGTTATGAAGTGTGGAAACTGCTGATTTGAAATTTTGAATCTACAAAGGAGAGAAATCGAAGTTAGATCAGAGAGACTCACATACCCCAGCTACTTAAGAGGGATTGGCTTGTGTCAAAGAATAAAAAGGAGAAAAGGCAGAGAAATTTGAGATGGGATTACAGAGGAAACAAGATGACACTGGAGTGGTGGAAAGGTACAACTTTAGGGTGTTAAGACTTAGGCTGTGAAGAGTCTGAGTTGGAGTTCACAGTTTTGTCTACAGTGAAAAGAATGCAAAGATGGGGGGGAAAGTGATTTGGAAAACTGAAAAAGGTGTAATGAAGTCAATTGTGGTAGATAAGGAAGCTCATTCTGGTTTCTCTTAAGTAATGAAGAATACCAGTTGAAAGGTAGATGAAATACATGGGTTTGAATGGTTCAGGAGAAGGACAAAGTATAGAATAGCAATTATGAGGAAAGTATGCTATGAAATAAGAATATATTGTGAAAGATCTTTGAAATTAGATGCCATAAGTTTATATTAGGGCTAAGTAGTTCCAGATAGGCCAGGCATTGGAAGAAGGGGAGGATACTTGTCAGAGGGAAAACCAAAGGTGATAATTACATATTTAAATATTATACCCATTATATTATAGAACAGTATGCAGATTTATTTTACAGAATTCGAAAACAGGTTTGGGAAGGTGATTACTTAAGTAATGTTACTCAGCTAGTGATAAATTCCAAATTACAATTGAGATTTGTTGTCCATTGTTGTGCTCACTGTACCTCTGAATATCAGAAGTTCTTGACAATCTGTTACTATAGATTTGCCTGAAGGTAAGCTTTATTTATTATAGAGTTTATTTATAATAATATTTTCTGGTCCAGCAAAACTGTCAGTTAACAAGAATACATTATAATTACTTTTCAGTTATATTTCCCAAAACCTAGTTATAACTATATGTAACTAAATGCCTATTGTTAAATCTTGAATTTTTAAAAACTATACTCTGAAAATTTCACTATTTTAAAATTATTAAATACTTCAAATTTTTCTGCAATAAGTAATTCAACCTTTAATGTTTGAAGCAGAATCTGTAAGCAGCCATTCAATTCATGTAAACAGAAATATTCTTTCCACGTGAAAGGTAAAATTTTGATAAAAATGACTGTCCTTCATAATCAATATTTGATAAATGTAAAAAAAATAAATTTTAGAGGAGTGTGTCCTTTGTAAATATTATTTATAACAGATATTTTAATATATTGTTATTATATGGATATTTAGTTGCATCTTCAAGATATATATCAGAAATTTTACTAATGATTTTTTAACTTGAAACCACTAAACTTGAAGTCTGTGTGGTAGGTAGGAGTAAAGGAGTAAACATTTTGTTTATAAAATATTAGGGAAACAAACATATTGTGCATCTATATTACATACTGAAATATTTTTTTTGGATTTTTCTGTTCTATTTTTTGGAGTGATTAAGGAAAACTATCAAAGCTGTTTCATTAAGTAATAGAATCTTATAAATTAAAGGCATTTCTTTAATATGTTTATAACTTCCTCTTTATGAGAACAGTTGCAATAGTATTTAAAAGATGAACTTAAATGTAGGCTTTCTGGGATCTATTGTTATAAGTTAATTTGTAAAGGGAGGATACTTTCTTTTAGTTTAACAATAACTATATGAATAATAGATAGCTGGAAAACTAATCACATGTTCATCTCATTACATGTTCATAATCTTAGAAATATTTAGAGACAATTTACTGTAATTTCTGACAATCTTATCCCTTGAAGCCCAATCTTACATAATTTTTACCTGTTTACTTAAAATATTGAACTCTAACTTATATTCAATAACCAAATCTTTAATGAGTTTTTAAACATGTTTAATATTATCCCAGAAGTTTAAAATTGTTGTTTTTATATCTGCGGGAAAGAAACAGCATTAGAATTAGGGACAATATTGATGAATCTGAGTTGTGTCAATTATTAATATATGCCCAATATTTCATATATATGCCAAGCAGAGATATATTAAATAAATTGATAGTAGGTAATATTAATGTGATTAAAAATTCTGAGCCACTTGATATTACTACTTTTTCCACATAGTTCTTTTTAATATTTCAAGAATTCGTATCCCAGGCAAAGTAGATGTCATAGTGAGCCTGTGGTACTTCAGGTCGATTTTACCCTGATAAGATAGAGGAGGCCAGCACACATACCTGTACTTCTGTAGGTTAACGAATTTAGATTCTGACCTATATTTGGAGAAACGGCCTCTAGATTTATTTTACATCTACTTAGTCAGCCTCCTTATAAGATTACTACAAAATAGATTTTTAAATGTGCTAACTACTCACAGGAATTCTCTGCAATAAAAGTTATAACCAGAGATGAGAAAATAAAATCTTTACTGTTTAGTTCATAGTAGCATGAAGTCAGTATCATATGTCCTATCATAGTATTGCAAGGGAAAGAAAATATTAGGGCACATTTTAATGGTGGAAATTTAAAGTCTCTCTTGAGAAATGACAGGAATTTATTACAAAGAACAAAAGCAGAAAAGGGATTTAAAGATTTGTCCTTCTTTTATGAGGTGGTTCTTTTGAATGTAGCTCCTGTCCCCTTTTTAAATATGATTTAACAAAAACCTTGGTGTGACTCAACATTAAGTCTAATTTTTCTCAAAGTATCTGAAGTTTCAACTGAGGAAGAACTAGGAATCCCTTGAGGAGTGGACTGTTTAAATAAAGCATGACCTAATGTTACAAGCAATCTTACACTGTTTGGGGAGAACAGTGAGTTAAGCAGGAGCCTGTGAATTTCTTATCCTTTCTTTTACTCTTAACTGCTTTATTCTACCCAAATTAGAACTTTTGAATTTAAATGCATGAACATGACCATAGTAAGTAATTGCATCTACTTTTCCTGACACTGCTGAACCTTTAAAGTTATGCTTTTGCTCATATCTGAGTAATTTTGATGAATATATATTAATATAAGACGTAATGTTCATTAGAATTGTGTCTATACTGTAAAATTACCCCACATCATCTATTTAGAAATATTATCTACTGAGGTTGCTACTTAAGAAAAAGAAAAAAAAACTTAACATTTTACACTTTAAGGTTACTCTTTTACATGAGTTTTTAAAATATTTTAATGAATTAAACAACAGATATATTATGCTCTCATAAAACATTTTATATGTAGTATGTCTATTTGCTTGGAAGTGAAGTAAACAATAAATATGATTCCTAACATTTTTCTGCTTATTTTCAAGACAGGCTGATGATACTTTAATATATTATTCCCTTCATCCATATCAAATTTTTAGTGTTTAGCATAAATTATAAAATAATATTATGGCAGTTTGTTAAAATGCTATTAGTTACTTGTTTATTAATATGAAGTTAATGTTTACATTTTCAGACGGGCTCTAAATTTATTAAAAGTTAATATTTTAGAAGATAATGTGATATTAAGAACTCAGAACTGCAAATTTAGTTGCTTTTAAGTATGGATCCCTAAATTCATGTGGAATCAACTTGTTGGTGATGTTCAACATATTAAGTAGGTGGATACTTTTATGCCAAAGTAAACTTCATTTCACCACTTCTTCCAATCCCCGACTGTATTCATTGATAGGAAAATGACTCTTTCAGTTTTACTCATTGAATTTCTTGAATTTTTGTTTCACATCTCTTTTCCCCCAAGAAAACAAAGGGAAAGAAAAGAGACTACTATTCATGAATATGGTCAGGATACCTTTAATACTCATGTGAATTTTTATCAGTCACCATCATGATTTCGAGTCATGAATTTATTTTTACATGCTTATTATGCATGCATATTTACATGCATCGATTATTTAATTGATCTTAAATTTCATTAAATTTGAATTAATAGAAGAAAAATTTGTTCATAGGATTTTGTTCTCGTTATATTACATTTTATTTTGTTTTGTTTTATTTGAATAATCAGTTTGAGGCTTATAAAGGTTGATTTGCTCCTAAACTGCTTTGTTCCCAGACATTGCCATCTTCCCCAACTACCACCAAGTCCTCTCCATCTGATCCCATGACCACCTCCAGAGCTAATCAGGTACAGTATCATCCTGTCATCTACACCATACCTTTCACGGGGGATTGCCTGCACACTGGAGAAAAAGATAATGGTGGGTTAAGGATGTATTCGTTCATTCACCACGATCAGATTCCAAATAACCTGGGAAAGAAATATTATTTCTGAAAATTTGTATGCATTTTTAACTTTAGATAACAAAAATATATTCAGGTGGTAGACTACTATAATTTTGGATTTTCCCCTTTAAATTATGATGACTTTATGGAGCTCTGAGGGTTATTTACTGAGTTGGTGTTTCTGATCTCCCTTATTGTTTCTTCCTAGGATTCTTGGTATATAACTTAATATCATATATGTACAAAATAAATGTTTAAATATGACTTATTGAGCAAAGGTATATCTTTAAAAGTGAATGCATTTTCATTTGCTTTTTATTTCAGACATTATTTACTATGTAAATAATTTTAAACTTTGGATGAAAAGCATTTGTAGCAATCTAAAAGTAACTGAAAATTGGTATTTCTGATCATTTTAATGTTATTTAATGACTCAGGAAATGGTATTTTCTTAGATTTAATACTAGCATTTTCTTTGGTGGAGTTGCAAATTGCAAAGTACAAATATATCTTATTAGTTTGATTTAATGATTGTTTGGTTCTGAATATTTGTAGGTCATTCTTCAAATGTGGTTAATTTGGGCAAATTTAAGGAAATCATCTAAAATATTTTATGTAATTCATTCATACTGTACTTTAACTTTACAATTGTTGAAAAATATATTTATTAAAATGATTAAACATATTTTCATTTTGTCTGAGTTGAGCTTCATTTAGGTGAGAAATGTTTTCTTTAATACTTCCACTTTCTTACTAATACAAGACCTTATGGGATTACTTAAATATTAAATAAAAGCTTATGTTTTAAATATATTTTTCACAGTTGACTAATAAATCATTGACTTTGAACTATATTTGCTAAAATATTAAGTGTGGCTTTTGCATATCTTTTAATATAAGGCTATCATAATTATTTTGCTCACTATTGATTCTCATACTTTTGCAATCTTAGGAAAAAAATTAAAATAATAACTGGATGCAAAACTAACAACACATTAGGAGTTGATTTTTATTTTATGCAATAGCATTCCCTCAGACAAAAATGCTTTATAATGCTCACATTTTAGCCCCAATAAATTGGTTTAAAAAGTATACATCTGTAGTGATGAAACACAGCACTTCTCTTTGAAGGAAGTAATACTGTTTATTAAGTGAGAACCAAGCTTATATTAGTGATGCATGAAATTAAAAAGTGTGTGTGTGTGTATGCTTTATATTCCTTATCAATTATATGAGCTATAATTATATGATATAGAAAACTATTGGGAAAATAACTGGCTTTATGTTTTTGATGCTTCTTTTACACTTCATCCTTATTTATTTCTAAGCAAAAACAAGACAAATGCATACAACTACAATTAGAAAAACTAATGCTTCTTCTGAACATAAAAAGTAAAAAATTCTGTATGTAGGAAGAAAAAATTTTCTATGAAGTTAGATTTGAATATTCTTTTATTTATTTTATATGAACATGTGAATTTTTATAAAATGATTTCTTTAAAAGTCTAATTATATGTTGACATTTACTAATATATTTTACTATCTAGATATGTTACTGCATCCACTTCTGCCAGAATCTAATATTTTTTTAAATTTGAAATAATAAGTCATTTGTGGTTTTATACTCTGTCCACTATACTCAGTTATATTTATTAAATATGTTTTATTTTTACTTGTTTTTCTTCTGTTCTTGTGCAAACAAGCTTAGTAGCTCCTGGAAAACATGAGGCAAAATATAAAAGAACAAAACAAAATCCTTAACTTCATTGAAGAAATTACAGTTATCCATCTTGATGTTATTACTAGTTTTATTTCCTACAGTATTTCCCAATAGATTCTATTTCTATTGTAAGATAGAAGGTAATGTGGGTTTTATTGTTTATAGGTCACAATTGTTTCTTGTGTATAATCCTAATTAAGCTAGTATCATTTTATTATATAGACTTAGATCTGTAAGGGTAACTGGAATAGGATATCCTATCTAATAGGATATGCTAATTGACTCTCACACTGTCGCAAAGATGGTGGTGCCACAGCCAATAAGGAGATAATATGCTAATTGACTGCCACACCTTCAAAGATGGCGGTGCCCACAGCCACAAGATGGTGGTGCCCAGTCCCCTTGCCGTGCACCTGCCTCCGGAGTCCCCCAGGCCCCTAAGCCCCCCAGCCGCCCAGGGCCGGCCCAAGGTGCAGACAAGCCTCGGATGGTGGCTGCCCAGATGCCCAGGGCCACCCAAGGCTCAGGTAAACAGGGCTGGCCAAGGCTTGTGCTGCTGGCAGTGCAGCACCAGAGGTGTGATGGGGCGTCGCCTTCCCCTGATCGCCGGGTCGCCTCCCGCCCATGAGGGCACCCAGACTGTGAGAGAGGACAGGCCGGGCTGAGGGACCCCCCTCCAGTGCATGAATTTTCATGCACCGGGCCTCTAGTATGATAATATTAACCCCTGCTTCCATAATTAAGATACTTTTAAACCTATAAGACAATAGCTTTTATTACTGGTTTAGATTTGCTTTATTCTTACCCAGCCATTTTGCAGACATGTCTCTAGTTTTATAACTGGAAGAAATGGTACAAACGCAGAGCATTCCATTTTAAATTAAAAATTATTGTTTAATGTGTTCTAGCTAATATGATACCCTATGCCAAGCATGTCAAACTAGCAGGCAGCAGGCCCCATGACTCATTTATGGCATGCAGCCTGCCACCCGCGAGTTTGACATGCTTGCCCTATGCTGTTGAAAGTAGCTATAAACTTTTGTCATGTGAATTTCTATAAATCAATATAAAATACATCCACAATGTTAGGGTTATTTTCATTTTCATTAATTATTTTAATAACTAAATGAGTTATGATTGAGTTCTATTTCCAGAATAGTTTGTCTGTTACAAACTAATGAGATCAAAAGAAATTAGGGAAACCCACACCTGAAACCGATATGTTCATGTTGACCAATGTTACCCCAATCAATTGAATAAATAAAAATTTAAAAAGTAAATATAAAAAAGAAATTAGAGAGTATTAATCTTTTTAAAACCCCAAAATAAAAAGCACAAAAAATATTATTGAAGAGTTAGTTTTATCTGCAGTTTCAGTATTTAAAAATATTTTCTATTCTTTTAAAAATAACTAAGTTTCAATACATTGTGAATTTTCTATTCTCAAGTTTACATAGCTCAGACTAACAGACTGTAGCTATAATGTTGTGGCTCTATAATAATTTAACTCTGCAAATTGAAGAACTATCATATCAGAAGCCATATAGAATGGAGGCTAAAAGTCAAGACTAGCCAAATTGCCTATGGTCGTAGCCTTGTTCTGTCACTTACTTGCTGAGTAAATTGAGTTCTGTTTCCCTTTTTGAAATTCAAATTATAATAGTACCTCAAAGAATAGATATACAAAATAAATTCATTAACTATTCTTAGAACAGCACAGTTTCTAGAATGTAATACAACATTAGGTTAGGTTATATTTATTTTATTTTTTTTGAAATATCTTTCAAGTAATCATGAAAAAGAAAAATTATCCTTTAAGATGCTAAGTGATGTGGCACATAGCATGTTAAAACTGATATTTTTATTTATCTTTAAAGAAAACTTCTAAGATAGTATTGCTGCTTTTTCAACCCTAAAATATTTCTGTAATCAAAGTCTCTATGCTTTATAAGATAGCTTAAACTACAATTATTTTCTTCTCTATTGAGAGTAGTTAGTTTTTGTCCAATTAATAATGCAGATGTTATTATATCCCTTTGAGAAAGAAAAATTAGCAAGATGCAAGTTTGACATTTTTTACAGATGGAATTTTTAATATGAGACAAATGTAGAAATATAATAAGTAGAATTACATTATGTGAGCAATATGTTTAAACTTAATTTAAAAAGTCAGTTGGTTTAATCTGTTCTTAGTTGATACTAACTTTTCAGTCACTTTAAGATTCAACAAAATGTTTTTGTTAATCAGTGGTGCTAAAAACTAAATTTCATCCTTAATTTTTAGTTCCTGCTTGTTAGCTTTCCTGGGATTCTTCTCAAATTTTAGGAAAATATTAAAAAGAGAGTGATTTTAGAAATATGTGCTTTATGGACATTTATTTTTTTGTGTACTGATAAATTTGAAATTATATATCAAAATATATTTAAAAAATGTAGAATAGGTAATTCATATCTAATACCCCTGCTATGGTAACAGAAAAACAAATAAAATGTCTGGTCTCACTTTAAATTCATGACCACAGATCTCACATGGGCTCTGAATGCTGTCAGATAATCAGTCATAAGCCCATTCACCTTTTTACTCTCTGGATAACTCTTTCATAAATTCTCTTCTCCTTTCAATCTTCCTATTTGTTTTCTGTTGCTGTGTAACAGATTACCACAAACGTAGTGTCTTAAATAGCACAGGTTTATTATCTCATAGTTTCCATGGGTCAAGAGTCTGGACACCGCTTAGCTGGGTCCACTGCTCCTGTTCTCACAAGACTATAATCAGAGTATTGCCTGGGGTGCATTCTCCTCTAGAAGCTTAACTACAGACAGTCCTCTTTTAATTCCAGGTTGATGGCAGCATTCGGTTCCTTGCAGCTGTATGACTGAGGGCCAACTTCCTGGCTTTTGTCAGGAGCCGCCCTCAGATTCTAGACACTGCCAAGTTCCTGCCCCGGGACCCTCTGTACAGGCACCTCACAGCTGGGCTGTTTCCTTCTTGTAAAGTTGGCAGGAGACTATTTTCAGTGTACTAGTAAGATGGAGTCTTATTTATTGAACCCAATCACAGGAGGGACTTCTCATAGGCTTTACCATATAGCATAAGCAGAAAGTGACATTCCATTCCATTGCCATATTCTGTTGATTAGAATCAAGTCAATTTACACCTATACTCAAATGGAGCCGATCAC